CATATATATATACAGTTGAATAACCAAAAAATTATAAATTATTATATCAATATTACAGAATTCCACAATAATTTATCAAGCTTAGTAACTAAGCTGTATTTCAGTTTAAAAAAATATTAAATTTTGAGCAGACTAAAGACACAACCTACCTCCTTGAAATCTTGGTTCAAAAGAAATAGATAGTGTCCAAACATGTTAAAATTCTGGAGAACTCCACTAGGGGTCATTCTGAGCTTCTGATTGGTTATTAATGTCATATATAGAAGTGAGTGTATATAAGGGAGTGTTTCCAAAAATGGAAAGAGATAGGCGGGGGTGCCACTATGTTTGATTTATTACGTGAGCAATATCTTAGCAAATAGAAAAGATAAGACCTTCTTATTTTTTTATTCTAGCTTGTCAATATCTGTAATTTGAGTTTCTAATTCATATGAAACTACAGACTTAGTATTTTGACTTCACAAACATCTAATTTGAACCAGTGCTGCATTCAAAATACCATGTGATACACAAAAACCAATGTTTATCTGTGTTTTTTTAATATCTACTTTTAAATTAACAAATTGGGTAATGTATAGTTCTAAAATTTGAATTATAATCTACAGTTTGATACCAAAATTATTGACATAAATTCATAAAATAGTAGTTCAATAAAATGTAGAATGTGAGTCAACAAACGAGATGACATAGCCATTCACCTGTGACCCATATCAAAAGGGTTAACACAGTGGCATTCTAACCAGAATATTAGTAATTTCAAGTTTTAACTTTAATTTACATTTCCAATAAATTATACATAAAAATAGAATATTTTTACAAAAAATACTCGGTATCCAACTAATCATGAGCATAAGCATGCCAAGAATGAATACAAGCTCAGTAGGAATACAAAGACAGGATTTTAAATTTGCCTTATTTTTTGAAACAAATTAAATACTGATAATTATCATAGTACTTCTTTTACTATATGTGTTTTTTGCACAAATCCATCAATATATGTTAATGATATTATACACTTGTCTACATGAAAATGCATCAAAAACTTAAGCATTCAAAATATTTTAAAAAACATTCTGAACTCAGTAGCAGTGAAGAATAAATATTTAAAAATTATTACATAATATTAATTTCCAATGAGAGCAAGCTATGTACTTACAGTAAAACTAAAAAGAACCCTGGCAAAAAATATAGCTAAATAAATATATATTTTTACTTGTAAATATTAGAAATGCATTGTTTCATCAGTTTGGTGCCCTCATTGTTAATGATATTTTTGGCTGTAATGCCACTAATATCTCACAAGGTTTTATCAGCTTAGAAGATTTAGGTTAGTCCTAAATACATCCATACATTAAGTTAAAATGCTAAACAACTTTTATAACAAAAGTACAATAATAAACAATAAACCAAAATAAAAGAGTAATAACAGTATAGAAATGTTGTTACGGAAAATAATAATAAACAAATAATATACCTTTTACAAAGCAGGTTAAATAACCTTTATCTGATTAAATATACAAAGAAAACAAACTTACATGTAACAGATGTAGCTAAAAGCAATAGAAATATTTTCTAAAGTACTGAATAATTTGATACTACTTACCATCAATGTTGTAAACTTTTTTGGGTTTCCAAGTCATAAGGGAAGTTATATCAAGGCACCTATTAATTCCCAAGAAAGTAAGTGTTTCCTCCTGTAGGAACTGAGTCCACTGAAACAGCACAACTTCCCCCCCATTTTGCTTCCACAAATGTTCAAGATGAGAGCAAAGGTTCGATAACTTCAACAAATAAACAAAATATATATAAACAGATGTACTTCCATAAACTAAATAATTCTAACAACATTACAAATTAATGACCATGAAGGGTGTACACCATAACTATATTATTCCATTAATATCAGCATTTTTAATAATGTGATAAAACTCAAATAAATAACTCAAACATAACATTTAGTCATTTCTCTTCACAACACCATAATTTACTCCTTTTTCTTATTTTAATTACCACTTTTCTCTTTATCCTGAACTTATATGTGTTTTTAGTACTTATGTCAGCATTCTTTACAGTAAAATTTGTAGAACACTCATAGTATGTTATATTATGTATATTGTATGTTATTTTGTGTAGCCCACATTGCCACAATTTCTCCATTATCAATCCAGAATGTGATGATAATGGTTGAAATATCTCTTAGAATTTTATTAACTACAAATTTCATATTTTTAGAATTAAAATGAATTTCAAACATGTACTTACCTCTGAAATACTACAAGCCTTTTCTTATTTTGTTCTCATGCTGTCAACACACAGGCGACTCAAAGTTCTGAATGTCCTTTAAATATTACAAACCATGCACAACATACCCATAATTCTCCATTCTCTCACTTTCCATGTGACTTATTGTGCATGTATCCAATTCCTTCCCACCATAATTCAGAGATTTTTTAAAGTTGCAATTATGGTTTATGTGATGAAAACTATGTATAGTTTGGAGGTGGATAAAAAAGTATTTCAGAGGTAAGTGCTGGTTTAAAATTAATTTAATTTGTATCAGGTAGTCTTCTCTCTGAAATACTGTAGTCCAGAATGCACACATTGAAAAAAAAAAGAAAAAGAGGTTAGAACTGGTGAGAGTGAAAATGATACAGAAATATTTATAAATCTAAGTTATAGGGCAAGAAGATAATAATATCGACTACAACAATGATGTAGTCAAGAGTATCAGAATAGAATCAAAAACTAAACAAATTCAAAGAACTGGATTTGAGGGAGAACAAAAAGTATTGCATAAAAACTGGACCTAAGGATACTCAAAAATAAAGTATTCTTTTCAGCAGAGTACCCCTTCCTTTGATGATCTTCAGTTCATACAAAAAAAGAGTTGGTTAGGATGATAATATTTTATAGTACCTGTAATTTAATTGGGAACAGAGATGATGACATAAACAAGTAGAAGGAATAGTATGTCCTGTTCCTGTAATAAAAGGTTATAAAGGGAGTAGCCTAACAATTTCATTAGTTGATATACTTCAAGAATTGTAGCCCCTCTTCATCCAAATGGTGAAATTTGATGAGATGTAATCCAAAATTCACTCTTAAGGTTTTCTGGATACATCTCAGTTGACAAGACTGATCAGTTGCAACAACCAATTTGCTAATGTGGATGGAGTAAGATCCATGAAGCAAAATTTGCCATTAGGTATGATCCCCTCTGAAAAATTATGTTTATGTAATATAGCAATGAAATGACACTGAATATGTTATTCTGAACAAAATCTGGATTAGTCAGGGTAGGTAACTCAAATGGAGAAAAATATAATTTACTCTTTCTCGCAACCCAAGTCTTAGGTAGGAAGGCCCTATACAAATACATTAAAAAAAAGTGAAACATGAAAAAACCTAGGATAGTCTCTAACCACAAGTGAGCAACAGAAGAAAATACACTTAGAGGGAAAAATGATAAAGCAAAGATCTTGCTACATGTTCAAAAAAGAGAAGTGAGACATTTTAATTCTCTCTACACGGGCTCAGTCAATTTGACCGACCATGTGACCTCTTTGTACTGGTTTAAAGTCTTTATAGATTGAATACTACAAACATTTAATATAGTAATTATATCTTCACAAAATTTGGCAGTCTTTCAGTTAACATTACAAATTTTTCACATAAAAAAATCATATTTTTCAGTGAAATATTTTTAATAAACCAAAATAAAGATTTATCCATGAATATATTGAGTATTTGTTTTGAATGGTCTGTGTGAAAAGTGATTTCCAAGTTAAGATTAAAAATACTTTTCTTCACTCAAAAATTTCCTTTGTGTAATCCCTAAAGCCTCCTAAGTACATTTCAAGCATTTGTTTTCAGTAAAACTTTATATTTTATCTGTTATTTTCTCTATCCTATCTCTATACAGGGTTGGTCAATTTGATTGACCTTGTAACAACCAAAAAAAATTCTAAATAAATCTAAATTACCCATTTTTCTTTCTAGAATAACTTCAAATTGTAACATGAAACTACATTCGTTTATCCTAAGTAGCTTTAAGCTCGTAACGGTATACATCTATATCTAATTAAATGTTATTGTTTTATTGCCCTTTGAACCATGACTAACTATTATCCGCACCATTATAAGTTGTGAATCACTCAGTGGAATGTGATACTCACGTTAAGCAAATGAACTACATTACCCATGAGCTACTATGAGCTGCTTGCGTGTGTCTCGTGAAACATTTTTATTATATTATTATTTATTTCACCTAATCTAATCTTAACAAACCTAAAAGGATCCCTATTTTTACATATTAGTTACTTTTATAATCATACATAAAGAATAAACATGAAAAAACAAGAAATAAAATACTTAACCAATATTTTTTTTCTTTTTGTTGGGTTTCAAAGAGAGTTAACCCTAATTTTTTATGGTATAGATAACAATGCACTTAATTTTTATTGAATTAAATAATGCACCAAGGAATAGACTAACTAATAACATACAAAAAGTAGACAAATTCTCTTACCTCTCAAAATTTTCCTTGCTTTCTAGCTTTACAACAAGAGCCGTTACAAATTCTTCTAAGCTATTCATTAACTTTCACATGGGAATGCTGACATATGCAAAGCAGCAATATCATCCTGCATATGTTGTCTTTTTTTTTATGTTGCCTATTTCCTCCATCACAATTTTTTTACCAATTTTTGCCTGTTCTTTTGTTTCCATTGTTCCTCAATAAAGGTCATATACATTTGCCCTGCTGAAGTTAGAAGTGGGCTGTTGATGTTAACATTAAGGACTCCAACAACAGTATTAACATGGTCACAGATTAATCTCTATGAAATGAGGGATTGTTTATGTAAATTTTCTACTTCGCTTTTTTTATTCATAGAAAATCCTCTTTCTACAGCTGCTTGTCCAGGTGAAATTAGGAGGAAATATTTTATAGCACTTCAGACTTTGTTGAAGAGGACATTTTTAGAGAGAAACGTGGACAAAAATTCATCCAACCTGCATTCCTCATTGTATGGCAAAAATGATTGAAAATCTGACTGATTGTACATTAAACCCACATCAATGAATTATTCAAACTGGGCCAAAAGGTAATCACAGGCTGTTAATCTTCCAGGCATTCTCCTAGCCTTTGCCAACAAAGCAAGCAGTTTTTCATCTTTGTCACACTGTCCTGTTTTGATGTTGCCATGGTTCCCGAGGTTGAGGCATGTGATATATCTGGCTAGTGGATACTTGAGTGGGGATTTTTCCAGTATCTTACTAGCAAGCTTCACCATAAAATCACAGAATTCATTTCTCAGTTCCATGTATTTGATACCACTGATGGCCTTTGGAGTTAATGAAAGGATTTTACTGCACTCTTGTTCTACTGAAAATCCAAGATCAAATTTCTTGTTTGAACTATAGTTTGTTTTGTTCTGTATATCAAGTCTATGGAGCTCTAAAATAGTAATATTGTCCAACACTTCCGGTTTCATGAAACATTTCAATATGCTCACTGCTATTAAAATATCCTGCACAACAAATGACATTATAGGCCTGTCCATTTGATAAATTAACAAAAATGGTGATATTACTTTAATGAGGGATGTGAATGACAACAATTTTGGAATGATCAGTTTATCTTTGATACATGAAGCAACAGTGTCATACAAGTTAGTCTTAGGATTTGTAGATTTTTTTTCTGTCACTTTTGTATCATACTATACAATGTTTGGCCATATTCGTATAGCATGCTCTACAATGGAGACATTTTCAGCCACCTATGGTAACAAAACTTATAAAGAAAAACATCTGATCCAGTGACTAATGTAAAGTCCTCTTGCTGGCGAATCTTTGATTAATCTGTAGAGACTCAACAGAAGTTTATAAATGGGCCATGTTGAAGCAGCAGCACCATCCTTCAAAGCACCATGAAGTACATGTACACCACAACTGTCAACATCTAAATGAGACTTGTAATACTGTGTTGAAAGTTTCTCATCAACAAGTCCAATCTTGTCCAATCATGGCCTAGCATCTTAATAGTTAGATAATGGACAAAAAGGCAGACAGATTTTTAAGCTTTATATATATATATACACACACACATTTTCTTCCCATCAGTTATTTCCTTTAGTTCACCAGGCTTAATGAAGGCAGATGTGTTTACTAACACATTTCTTAGCAGATACTAGTCTGACAGAAGTAAACAATAAATATTCTATTTTATTTACCTATTTTTTCTGTGTAAGTTATGATATACCATCTAAAATATTTTAAATAAATTGTCAAAGGAAAGCTGAGAAAGAAAATTACAAATTAGACTTTATTTTGGAGAGTAACAATGTTGTATTAGCAAAAGATAATTACATGATACAATGTTGAAATTATACTCTACCTGTTTTAATGTAAGCCAGCTAGCTGACAACAAAAAAGCTGGCGGGGAAGTTGATGGATACTTTGCTACTAATTCAAAGTGTAGAATCACTGGTGGAAGGTAATTAATTTGAATTTCTTCTTGTTTTCCTTAAAATGAAATTATAAAACATTTAAATAAAATAATATGAAGAAAGATATTTGCTTCTGAATAAGACTTATTACAGGCTCATCTAATATAATTTCTTTATAAAATAAATACAATAGAACTTGATATTAAGGGCGCTCTTCTGACTGCATCCAAATTCCCTCTATAGAAAGGTGCTCTTAATATCAAAAATGAGCCACACAAGGCTGGATTCCATATCGACCATACTAAATTTCTAAATTTTATGCCCCCCCCCATCTTGTTTGGTGTATCCAAGACATGGGTGTTTGTGAGTTGCATGTTGCCATGACATGGAGAACTGTCAACAGGAGGTCTCAGGAAATGGATTAGCTGTGCCATTTTTTCTTTATTATTGGTCACAAAGATTCAAAGTACTTCTCTTCAGAGTTTGAACTGCAAAACATTTCACATTTAATTTCTGTGTTTATTTTAATGTAAACGACTGAAGTAGAAATCAGTTGAAAATAAAGTAACAAATCACTGTGCGAGTCATTAGACTATTTATGTGACACCATATTATGATACTCTCAAGAGCAACAAAACACACGAACAGAAATAAGCTGACTTGATCCCTGCTCCAAGAACATGATGTGGAATTTATGTATCCTACAGTGTTTAAAACAGAATTCCCCAGAAGAATAAGATTGTGCTTTGAATCTGTGAAAATTTTTATTACACTATATGGTTCAGAGCCAATCCAATAAATGTCACAAGTGTTTTAATATTGGTCATCGTTCTGAGATGTTTGGAATTTATTGGTATACCGTACCAAGTGCCTGTATAGAGAAAGAGTCTAAAGACACTGCCATTCATCCAGAATATCAAGGTGCCCATTATTAAAAGACTTAACTTGATTACAAATAGTAAAAAAATTAAAGAGACTGAAAAGGTCTGCCCTTAATAGCACAGTGCCCATTTTTTTTAGCCGCCCGTTCATCGAAGTTCTACTGTATTACAAAATCCTTCCACTAGTATAAGCTTTGTAAGTAATCCAAATGTCCTAAGAATAAAAAAACTTTAATACAATAGAATGAGTATTTGATTGTTTTAATCTTTATTTAGGTGATGCATGTAACAATAAATATATATGTACATATATATATATACACACACACACTCACATACATACATACATATGACTTACAGAGAGTTTAAACTTAATACTACTAATAATGTCAAAGTTTAACTTTTCTGAATTGAGTTAAAAGAAGCAGCAGGCATTTTAAAGAGATTTTACTTTCATTACCATATTGAACTTTTATGCAAATCTCATCAACCAGTATCAACAAAAATACCTTGTTTGAATAAGACAGTTAGGACATTGACCAGAACTTCCCATTCATACACAAATTCATCTTTTTTTCTTGTAAACACTGTAATTTTCAATAAATTCCTTACAATTTTTATACTAAATTAACTTACTGATGCCAGAAGATGCTATACTTTAAGGGTAACTAAAATAAACTAAATTTGTTTGTAAAATGAAACTGATCTAACTTGATTGTTCATGTTTTATTGTATTAGAATACTGTTATCCTCTGCTTACTAATGCCAGCTTTCATACTTCTTAAAATTTTTAAAAGTTACAGTAATTATCCACTGCATATTTCAATGTCATTTACAGAAAATAAATCACCTTTGTTAATGAAATAAATACACATGCATTGAACATTATAATCACACTGAAGTTACTTTAACAGCAACAAAATGTAAATATTACTTACACTTTTCTTCACAAACATACCTCCAAATTCACACCGTGGAAAATCTTATGTTTTCGTAAAAAGAAATTTTTTTTATATAATTTTGTTATATAAATCTTGGAATAATATATTCCAATTGAAGTATGTATATGTTTTAGTGTTTTTTTATACCTAAAATTTAAATAATCCCTCTTATTCACTGATATTTATCATGTTTACTTGGCCTCTATTTCTAAATTATTGTCTTTATCATACCTGATGACTACATTATTATTACTTTTTACTCAGAATAAATTAAATAACTAAAATCCAAATTCAAAAACTACCCAAAAACCTTAACGCATGTTATGGAAGACAACTGAATAGCCTACTCTCCAAGTTAAAAAAGAACAATGAGATCACAGAATACATGTACAACAACTAATGAGTCACCAATGCACATTCCCCTTGTTTGTTCGGTGCTCCAAAGATTCACAAAACCCAACTGACATCCACCCCATTCTTTCCACTTATGCCAGCTATAGCCATGAACTTGCACAATTCCTAGATTTTTCTGATCAAACCATTGCATGACAACAATACAAGGCTAAAGGTGTTCTAAAATCTTAAAGCATTCTCAAAAATCTCAACAATCATCACAAAATGTAGTTTTGACATAGTCTCCATGTATACAATAATACAAAAAGATGAAGCAAGAAACCTGGCTCTAGAAATGACATCCCAAAATTAAGACAAATTGTATTACAACCTGAGCTTGGAAATTTTGAAAGGCTTGTTTCACTTTGCACTAAAAATATGTTTCACCCGTTAAGACAAAACATATTAACAAATAGATGGCCTAAGCATGGGCAGCACTTTGTCATCTGGATTATGTGAATTGTTTGTCACAAAATAGAGAGTCAGGCCATTAACACAGCTCTATACCCTCTCACATACTGGGTTAGATACGTCAATGATGTATTTTGTGGATTTGAAGACAACAACCGTCAACAGTATTTTTTACAATACGTAAACAATGTTCACTCTAACATCAAATTCACTCATGAAGAAGAGAATGAAAACAAGGTTTTAAATTACATAAATATAACAATAGAAAGAAACTCCAACAGTTTAACACAAAAATCTTCCATAAACCTGGTATTGATATCTATATAAAGTGGGACTCAGCCCACTCAATTCAACAAAAAATTGGCACATTATCATGCATGTATGACACAGCACATACCATATGTAGTAACAGCCATCTGCAGCATGAAATAGAATCAATATCCAACATATTTATTAACAACTGTCCCTAAAACCTTAGCCAAGTACAAAAACAAACTCAATAACAGAAAAAAAGAAAATGAAAACAACATAAACTCCATGAAGGAAACAAAATGCACAAACTCAAACACACTAATAGATGTTTTACCATATCATAGCTATGTAACCAAAAACATCAAACATTTGGAAACAAGCCTAAAAAAAACACAAAATAAACAGCAAAGTTACTTTTATTTAAAAACCAAGCACCAAAATCAAAGTTCATCTTAAAAAGGTTTATTCTGACAATATCAATGACAGAAGTACCTACAAGTATTAATGTGATTGATGTGATAACACTTACCTAGGCAAAACAGGATGCAACATAAGTATTAGGATCAAAGAACATAAAAATCTCCCATAACACATATACGAACACAGCACAATAAATCAACATACAATTAACATTAACAACTTTAAGATATTATGCAACGAGAACAACATTAATAGAATAAAAATAAAAGAAGCATTAATTAACCGTGAACTAAAACCTAATTTAAATCAAAACAGGTGTCACCCAATATGTTTTCTAAGTTGGAACAAAATGCTCATGCAGTATTTCACAAAATAGAGATAGTTACCTGATGATGGCCACACAAGTGGTCTAAATGTAATATATATATATATATATATACATAAAAATCCACTAAAAAAAAAAAAACCGCACTGAAATTGGGTATCTATCAGGATAATCTTCAGTTTAGAAAAATTATAACTTCTGATATTGACCTTACCTCCTCTCACATAACACCTAGAATCCAACACTGAACTGAAGGACCCATGCAAAATTTACTTAGAGAAGCACCTCAGAAAGTGTCTAAAGAGAGCCCATGGAGTGTGACATCTCTCTGTAGAGAGAACCAGATATACTCTTCACCTACTGTGAAAATACGAGTTGCTAAATCAGGTAGAAAAGAAGCACATTCATAAGCAATTGGAGACACCAAAGGTGTAGAGTGGCTAGAGCACATCAAACCGTAATCAGTGGGTCAACTCCAGTCCAAAACCAGGTGCAATCAGTTATTTGTCTCCTGGTCCTATAGTAGGAGAAGTTCACAACTATTTTCACCTCAAGCTTAGAAAGCAGAAGGGAAAAATAACTTCCATTCCAACCACCCAAGCATGGCACGAGTGCAAACCCAGTACACAACCAAAACCAGGCTACTCAGGAATGAACATCCAAGAAATGAAAGGAAGGAGGAATACAATGTGGTGGTTCACTCAAATCCAAAATCAGGTAGCATTGGGAATTTATCGTCCAGTCTGCAGTAGAACAATGGCTCCCTACCAGCTAATTTCCGCTGGTCCAGCTCTAATCCAATACCAGACAACCCAGGAACCAACACCCAGGAAGTGGAAGGATTAGGGGTCCCAGCTGAAGGGGTGAACTGTATTTTGGTGGTTCGTCTCCAGTCCAGAACCATGGGCATTAGATATTGTACATCCTGTTGGCAGTAGGAGGAGGATTCACACCATCTACAACAACAGAATCCCACTACCCTACTCTCAACTGAATGGGACTGATCACACTCAGGAGGATGCCTCCATGGTCCACCACCCCAGCTGCTAGGAGCTGGTAAGTGGCTAGGGCTCACTTACTTCACTTGAGAGTCCAGAGAAATGCAACAATGAAGACAGTACAATGAGTAACCACGAAAACCTATTTTCAAGAGCAGGTTGGTCCCAATTTATTCAACCACAATTGGAGGGATGGGCAGCTATCTTGACACTGCTTTACTCATTATAGTCTATGAGTTGGTACTGTTTGGGATGTACATAATTATAATACAAAACACTGCAAGGATGAACCTACTAGCATGTAACAGGCAGCGCACTTAGGGCTAATAGTTGGAGTTTCAATTATACTGCCGATTATACCAAATTTATTTAGTTGAGGATTACAGTGGCAAGAGGAGCTCACAAGTTGCTAACTCGAGGTAATTTACAGTTAGAATAAAGAAACAGTTTCCAAG